GGTTTACTATACTTGCACGAGTAGTTTGACCCCAAGATAATTCACAGCGATGTTAAGGCAGCAAATATACTGCTTGGTGCTCTTAGAACATCGTCGCTAAGTTCACTAGTCACCCTTTTCAGCAGTGCCAACACAGCATCACCACTATCGATTGCCAGCCCTTTGGCCCCCCGTGGCATGCACCCCTGGTCCTTGAAGATTTGGACTACTAACCTTAAGTTGTTCGTTGACATTGTTAGATGGATGCAACGATAGTTGATGTAAATCAAACCCTAAATTTTTTTGTCCCAGATCAGTGTGATTTCCTCAAATTGATTTATTTCAAACCTATGACTGAAGTCCTTACTTTGTGGGTTAAAGAAATCTGTGGAGTTCTTGTTTCACGAGCAATATGACCCCAAGATAATTCACAGGGATGTTAAGGCAGCTAATATACTACTTGATGCTCTCATAACATCGTCGCTAACCTCACTAGTCTCCCTTTCCAGCAGTGCCAGCACAAAATCACCATGGTCGATTGCCAGCCCTGCCGACGGCTTGCTCGCCTTCGTCCCCAGTCCATCATGATTTGGATTACTAACCTTAAGTTGTTCGTTGACGTTGTTAGACGGATGTGTCGACAGTTGATGCAAACTAAACCTTAAATTTTTCGTCCCAGATCAGTGTGATTTCCTCAAATTTATTTATTTATTTCGAACCTATGACTGAACTCCTCTATTTGTGAGTAAGCGAAATCTGTGGAGATCTTGTCTCAAATTTCAGATCCTTTACTTCAATCATGGAAGCTTCATCCATTTTTGGTGGAGTCATGAGTTATCGTTTCCACCGGTTTCCTAATACAAATTATTCATCCACTAACGTGAGGAAAAGGAGAAAATTAACATTTTTCATACTACATGGAGTTATCCACAAAATATTCTTTCTTTTTGTACTTTTAGCCAAATAACTATGTTTATGTGTATCGGTCTCCCGTAGGTTTGGAGCTCACGTGCTACATAATTAGAATGATTCTCAATTTAAAAAAAAAAAAAAAAATTTAACTTCTCAACCATCATATTCTTCCTTAAAAACCTAACTAGATTTAAAATAGGATTTGATATTTTATTAGCTTCATATTAGTTTTCATGGCAAAACGAAATAAGAATGTATAAAAACTACGCCATGCCACCTTGTTTTGCATAAAACGCATTATTGGATATAAAAGATGAGGACACATGTGAAGAACCCGACCAGGACCCCTATGTAGTAGTTTAAAGCAAGGCACTAAATATTAATGGATCTTCATCATTTACTTGAAGTCTTGAACAACATAATTAAAATCACCGAACGATGGCAATCACAATAGATAGAGGTGAAACTCTGCATCCTGCTGTGACAGTGCAAAAAGGCATCAGATCCTTTTAGAAACACTATGATAAGGACAAACATTTGAGCTGCTGACATAAACAAGAGTTAATATCGTAAACCAGACAAGCAAGCTCCATCAACAACTTTGTGCTGCCAAAGTTGACTACCAATATGTTGTCTTAGTCGCCTTCAAAGTATTACTACAACGCTAAAAGGTCATGAAAACAAAGCAAGTAATAACAAAAATAGAATTACTAAAAAAATCAAAATAAGTAAACTACTGACAAACCAATACAAGGATACAGATGTTGATATAAGCACGGGCTGAAAAGTTTGAGAGTAGTTTCAGAAGGTAAAAAGGTGAGTCAATACATTTTTGAAAGTTCATACAGGTTGAAACCTTTTAGAACGGAGGTCAAGTGGAAATGTTTCAAAAATCAGTCATCATCAATCCTACTTTTTGGTATCTGGATTTCACATAAACTAGTCTAAACCAACTTCAAGACAATGCTAAGTCTCAGACTGATTAACTTGTGAGAAATTCTACTGAATGGTGAAAGATGCAAATTAAAAGGAATGGAATCCGAAAACAACACACAAGTCATATGCTCCAAACCAATCCATCATCATACAAATTCCACATAATTGAGTTTGACAAACCTACCATTTAAAAATCTGCCACATCATTTTATTTTTTTAACAAACCAATTCCAAATCATGTATTAAAACTGTAAATCATAATACCTTCACAATGTGGCTGAAGCAAGGATGCAGTTAAAATTACTCCAACGAAGCAACACTTTAAGGAGCAGTAATGGGGATTGGGCAATGGCCGCTAGCGATTGGCACATAGGGGAGTGGTTACCCGGTTTCTCGGCCCAAATGGAAGAAAAGGCAGCAAAAGCTACCCAACCTACTAGATCATTTACATAAAAATAAGGGTACGAAGCAATTTTATCCATATCTAAATGTACATCCAATGGATTATTGGATCCATCTTGACGCAATGTGGCCAGATGAAGAGGATTGGCGCCCGTTTAACTTACTAACCTTAATCAAGCAGCATAGCATCCGAGCATTCATTAGATTACCTATCTTTCATGCCACTTGGACTGCCTTATTGAGAAAATAATGGGGAATTGCTGAGTTAGAGAGTGAAGAGTAGAGTACCTGGTTAAATAGAAGGTCTTCTGTTTATCACGTGAAGACCTATCTTCTTGTTGCTTCAAACCAAGTCCACAGGTGTATCAATAGACCATATAGAATTAGACAAAATCAATAACTATGTTAGGGCCTAAGATCATCTCCAACCATGACTCAAATTTAAATTAACATTTGAGTAAAAAACTTGATTTTAATATAAAGAACTCTAATGGACAAATTCAAATTTAAAAAAGGGGAGACCCAAATTTAAATAAGGTAAACCGAAATTTAAATGGGAGTAAAGATGACTATTAGATTTTTAAAAGATAGTAAAATCTTACCATTAAAAATTTAAGTATCCATTGATTTGAGTAAAAAAATGAGTTTTTCTTGATTTTGTTTAAGTTTGAATCAAGCGTTGGAGTAAGTTTTTTAAACTTTTTTACTTAAATTTAAATTTGAGTCTAAATTTGAATAAGTGTTGAAAATGCTCTAAGACGAATCTCATGTATGGAATTAGGGCACAGACGAACCTCAAGCGAATCTCATAGGCGACTTCAATTGTCTTCTTCGAACAAGGTTAGGGCTACATAATTGATTACTCACTTAGGGGTCTGCATTTTAAGGGCTCAGCTTAGGGAATGGAAAACAAAGAGTAGAGAGAAGAACAAATCTAATGCACTGAAGAGATAAGAGAGAGAAAGGGAAGGAAGGATCTGCGTCCAAATAAAGGAGAGAGGGAAAAACGAAAAAACAAAAAGGGGTGCCTATTGGGGCTTGAAATATTAGACTAAAAGCGAATTCATTATATCCGCTTAATTATATAAAACGGACTTGGGGAATATGTTTTTTACTTTGAAAATGGATTTTGAGAATACGCTCATTCATATGAAAGCGGATTCCACAAATACGTTTTCAAAATAAATGCCCTTTAAAAGCATATCTGTTGATACCACTTTTTAGTGAAATCGTAATTGTTGATTCGGCTTTCAAAAAGTGTAGTAAGTTGATAAATAAGTTCAAAAGTGAAGTAGATTGATTTTTTTGTTTGAAAGCCGGCATACTTTGGTAATAAATTCAAAGAAAAATCAAACAAACATTAGTTTCATAAAAGAATGCCTTCAAAAAATCATAAAGGATCCAAAAAAAAGAAAAAAACATAGACTTAACTAGATAATGTGACTACAAAGAGTGAACACATAGTGTAACTAACTGGTGTGCCAGCTTTGGATTGGGATACGAGGACAAGAATCTCGTTGGAAGCTGCAAGGGGTTTACAAAATTTTTAGAATGCATGAAGTAAAGACCCAACCACCCATATTGATTGGGTAGGGCGGGGTCAAACAATATTGTCCTCGACAAGACAAGATCTTGAATGCTTGTTTATGTATTATCAATTCCTGCTAATGCATGGTCACAATCGAAAAAAGGTAGACATTTTTTTAAAGGTGACATTTTCCTGGAAGCACATGCCCAGATCCGAATATGCTGACCCCTTCTCCACTTATCCTTCTCCTATTTCCCAAATCGCTCCGGTTATCTGTTCAAAAAAACAAAAAAAAAGTCTTGATTGCATGGGTCTTTTTTTGTGGGTAAAAATTATAGTTAGTTCTTGAATTTTAGCTTCGGCGGTTCTTGAATTTTATTTTCAGTTTTAATTTGGTTTTTAACTTTCAATTATTTTAATTTAGTTTTTCAACTATTAATTTCTTCTTAATTAGTCCTTCTATCAATTTTCATAATTAGGTCGGCCGGAGACTAGTTTAATCTGATCCGTTTAGGCGTTGATCTAACAAATGAAAATATATAATTGAGATAAAATTGAAAATTGAGGAATTAAATTTGAATTGAAAATTCAAGAATCAATAAAATAAAAGACAAAATTCAGATACCAACTATAATTTTTACCTTTTTTTAGTTAACAATGAATCCTCTGGACTACATAATTTTGGGAATCCCTAATTATGTATATACTGCCAAATAGATTTCCAATCTTTCAATTGTGTATATTTAATCCCTAAAATTTTTAATTTGTATTTACATGATTTAATTTCAAACGTCCGTTAAAAAAATCATTAACTCCTCTAATCACGCTCTAATGACATGAGACCAAATAGACATAAAGTAAGAATTTTTGAGACAAAATAAACACAAAATTAAGAATTACAAGATTGATACATAACTAAAACATCACGATTTTTTGATGAGATTCGATATAAATTAGAAATCTTAGAGATTAAATAGACAAAATTAAAAGATTGAGAACCAAATAGACAAAAAACACATATTTTATGGACCTTAAATGTATTTTACTTTATTTTTAACTAACAATTCTTTTGCAAAATTCAGTAAAAATCACCATAAACTGACACTTCCCGGTCCCGGTACTGCCATGAAAAACATGTGACCTTCGAGTAGCTGGTAGTACATACCATGCACAAGAAATCTAGGACTGGTTGTTGATCCATTTACTAAAACACCTCTCTCTCTCTCTCTCTCTCAGCTTAGCTATGGAAAAAGAAGGTGCTAAAGAAGAGACTCAACAAGTCCTGAAAGTCTTGGAAGCTCTAAAACAAGCTTCACACGAGATACAGTGCAACCCGAGCCCCGACTCGCCAGGGTCCAACTCCTCCTCCGCCATTAAAGCCCTTCTGGAGCTTGAAACCGAGTCAGACTCAATCCTCTCCTACGACCCACATCTCTCAAATCTATCTCATCACCTCACCAACCTCAGAATCCTAATCAACAGCCTACAAAAATCACGGTCCCATCACGGTCTCCGATCTTTCTTGACTCGTCGGATCATTACCCTCGACATCTCCCGAGTCGCCGGGTCAATCGAGTCAGAAATCCAATCCTGGATCCACCGCGAGACCATAATCAACCTCATTAGAGCCTTACAGTTACAGCAATCTATCTGTTCTTCTTGTTCGCTATCATCTGTGGAAGAAGATAAGTTTCTTGATTCAATTGATCAGTTCAGAATCAGGCTAAAACAGGGATTCTCTAATGAGTTTCAAGATTTGATTCTCAAATCCAAAGTGTTTTCAAAACTTGAATCAGTTCTATGCAGAAGCAATTTCTCCAAAAGGGTTCGAGAAAAAGCGGCTTTCGTCATTGTAGAGTTGGTAAAGTTCAATAAAGATGTTTTCGTTGGCCAAGTTTTGATGGGTCAAACTGTACGAGCTCTGATGTCAATGGGTTCTTTGTCGTCCTTACAAATTTTATATTCTCTTATTAAGTCAATAAAGAGTCCTCTAGTGGATGATATAGAGGAGAATGGCGAAACCCAAAAGATTATCAGTTTCTTGAGCTCTGATGATTTGTTGGTGAGAATAATGGCGATGGATTGTGTTCTGGAAATTGGGTATTTTGGGAGGAGAGAGGCGGTAGAGGAGATGATGAATGTGGGTTTGATCAAGAAGTTGGTGGAGTTGCAGAGATCTGAATTGGGTGGTGATTTGATAGATCTTGATAAGGTTGGTGAGGAGGGTGAAAACAGAGGAGTGGAAGTGGGTGAGTGGGAGAGAAATGGGAGGTGGGGTAGGAGAGAGAATGGAGAGAGGAGGCTCTTGGAGAGCCACCCGTTTGCCAGTTGTGTTGGGAGGTTTGCGGTGGCGCTGGAGGTGGGGGAAGGGTTGAGGAGGAGAGAAAAAAGATGGTTTAAACAGGAGATATTGACAAGAGTGAGGGAGGCCTCTGTTTCTGATGCTGAGGCTGTCACCATTATTGCTGAGGTTCTTTGGGGTTCTTCACCTTGAAAAGTCCTAGCGAAATAAAATTTTAATTTCTTTCTTTATTTTTGGGAATTTTTGTGATAATTTTTGTTGTAATTATTTTGTATGGATAGGTGTTGAATAATAAAGAGATTGTTGAATAAATTTATTATCAATTGATTGGAAACTCGAATTATGTAAATGGTGATTATTTATTTTGTTAGTAATAGTGTGTGGTGAATGTCTCATTTTCGAACTTATAATTTCACCATTGATGTTATGTTTGAGAGTGAATGTTTCAATTTCTATTTCATAATTTTTCGGTTATTAATTCGATGATCCTTTTTCACCAAGCAATACTCATTATTAGTGTTGAGATGAAAATACTCTTTGAAGTTCAAAACAACCGGGGTTTGTAAAAAGAGTTTTGAATAAGGATGAGTTCTAATGTTTAAACTTAATTTGTTGATTTTTCTTTTAAACTTGGGTTTGTTTTGTCTTGGATTTGAAGAATAACCCAGCTGAATAAGAAATCAAATGAACCTCTTTTCCATAATGAGAGTCCAATGCATATGGTTCGTATTTATATTAATCAATAGATTACAAGATAAGTATACCAAACAGGATGTAATCTGCTGAATACATTCCTACAACTATTAGAATATTAACTATTAGAATACTAACTAAAGGAAGAGATAACAATCTGTGAAGATAAAGATAACTCATAGAGTCATGAAATCGGTATAAGTCTTCTAATAGGATTGACTAAATGAATTAAACTTGAACTTAATCTCGAGTTTAAAACTAAATTTATTTATTGTGTATTTATATATGTAATGTTGTGTATATAAATAGATTTAAAATGAAGATGAAATTCCATTTATTTTATGACTAACAAAGATTCATTTGCAGCCTCAATTAATGTCTCCTACTCCACCATTAGGCGCAGTGACATCTCCCATTTATGAATTTAAGCTTAGGCAGAAATTATTTTGTGCTTACGGGATTTTACTTGACAGTGTCATGTGATGTTAATATTTAATGAAATATTACTACAACACTAACTTATGAAACACACATATTAGTGTTTTTTTTTAAAGTTTAACACCATTTAAAAGTGATATCAATTGATTGAAAATCTATACTAGATATATAAAACAATCAATTTCTTAGGGGAGATAGCTTGATTCTCTCACTATTCTAATTTTTAAATATTTTAAATTATTACTTTTTTCATCCTCTAACCATATTCTACCAAATATCTCAAATAATTACCCATAAAATTGTTCTAACCACTACTTATTTAATTTTTTTTAAACATCAAATTTGCAATCTAATAATTCTTATAATGTTTTTGTTAACTTATAAAATAATGAGTGTAAGAGAGTAGATGGTGAAGAAGGGGATTGAGAGAAGAAAATAATGGCCCGTGTATCGCACGAGATCAAACGCTAATTTATAATATTTGATAGATGATGTATGCAAGTGGGGAGTTAAAAGAGACTGACACACATGTTTATGTCAAAGATAATCAAAGGAGATGAATATGATAAGTGGATGAGATAGAAGGAACTTGAATAGCCTATTAACAAAGAGACTAACCAATTGGGGCAGAAGGTAGGTGGTATAAAATACTCTCACCAGCCAAGTAGAAAATCTCTCTCCGCAGTGGGCAAGTAATTTGGATATTTATAGCAAAGTGTCCGGGCAGGTCGGGTTATCCGCCACGACCCTCTAAAACTAGTGCCAACCCACAACTTTCTCGATCGTAGCAATAACCGTGAGCCACATGTCTCAACGTTAACTATGCAAATGTGACATTTACCCAAACACAACTTGGATGTGACCCCCGATGAGGAGACGACAGCTGAGGCGAAAAGGGGTTCGTATGGTTAATGATCGTGATTGATCATCACGGGACCATGACCTCGAAAAGTCCATATATGTGATGCCCCTAGCGCACTCCTACCCGAGATCCTCATTTCTCTCTCTAGACCTCTTCCTTGAGAACTTTGTCAAAGTACCCGATAGAGGAAACTCATATAATTTCGGTCATTCAGCCACTAATCCACATATCTCAGTATCTCATATGTTGATTCAGACCAATAACTCTAGTTACTTTAAGAGTCCCTCTAGATCCCAGTCAAGCACATCTCAGTGGGCAATGAGTTGTACATTGGGAGGCTTGTTTGAAAAGACTAAACCTTGCCCTAGGCCGAGGTTGACAATCATGCTAATCCGCTCTCGTTGCTCATTTCTCCCTTGAGGACCCCTCTTCTTAGTCCAGTGGGCCAGATGAACAACGGTGTTTAGTAGGTAGAGGATACCAATTTTGTCGGTTGTACAATCTCAACATTGTGTCTTGTTTTAGCAATGGAGGAGGCTAGCCATGCTAAGATTGCCCCAAGACTCTTGTGGTGCCATTTAACCACTTCCAATGTGATGAGGATGTCTTCCGCCCTTTGTAATACTGGTGCCCGTTGCGGACCTAGAGTGCCTACCATGGCGATGGGGTTCCTACCGCGACACTAAAGTGTTGTCGTGGTGTCAATGCTTGCCGTGGCGCTGGAATATTGTCGTGGCACTGTTATTCGTACTAATTTTACTAAATCATGTCGGGTTCCACTGTCATATAAGTTGTCAACTCTTATCATTTGTCACCTTACAGTGTGAATACGTATCTTAAGTTTATAGGATACTATAATGTACAATCACATAAAACAGTTGTGTCATATAGAGCTTGATGAGGGGTGAATATTTTGTCGTTATTGAGATAAGTGGTCCAATAAAACACCGGAAATGTCAATAATTCCAAGCAAGCCAATCGTTGTTTGGTCTCTGGCTGGCGTAAATCCAATGATTTTGGCCTCTTATTTTAGGATAGACAAGGGCCTCCAATTCAACTGTTGGGGAACTTTAGGAAGAGAACACTTTATAAGATGGATCCATATGCATCAGAGTTGGGAAGAAGGGAAGGAGGGGGGGGGGGGGGGGGGGATGGCCCCTCTGGAAATTTTAAAACTTATACTATATTGTAACTTTGAAATCCTTACAATTGATAATTTTGGGCCCCACTCAATTTTTATAAAAAAAAACCAAAAAATAAGAGGTTACAACTAAAAATTATTTCAAACTAAAATTTGGTTCAATTTTTACGCTTGAAATTAGAATAGCATTAAGTCAATTTTTAACTTTAGAGTCATAATTAAATTGGTATTGAAAGCCGTGTATAAATTATATTAAATGAATTTGTGTTTGTGAAATATTATGTAACCCAAATTTGTATTTTAAATGAAGGGAGACCATTGAATGAGTGGATCCTATCAATTTTTTTTAAAATGAGATCCACTGATCCAATAGTCCCCCTTAATTTGGAATGCAAATTTAAGTTACAAATTTGAGTTACATAACATTGCTCTTCATATTTTGTTTAATCGAGTTTGTATTGATACATTTATTCAGTAGTTTAATGTCTTCACTAATTTACTATCAAAATCTACTAATATCATGTGATTTTGTATCAGAATCGTAAATTGTATATAAAATTACCAATTATATCCACAATTTTGAATTATTATCTCTTTTATTACATGATAAAACTTATAATCATAATTATTAATTCCACACAATTTCACCGTGAAAATTTGTTTTAATCGATGCATTGTTGATAATTCACGCATTTGTGTTGAACCACATCAAACCCCATTGGTCCATAAGAAGTCATCCATGATATAAAAAAAACTCCGCATCTATGTTGAACCACATCAAATTCCATTGGTCTATAAGCACAGTCATCCATGATATAAAAGAACTCCCCAACCAGCACCATGTTTGGAGCATGACCAGACCAGCAGATATTCAAATCCTATTGCGCACGAATTAGCTCCATGGGGGCTAAAAATGATGTTAGATATTGGGTTTGGATCATGGACATGAACTAAGGAGTCTATGGTAGGTCGACTTAATTAGAGAATGCCTATAGAACATGACTCTTAGAGGAGTCTTTTACCACTCAAAAGATGTGCCTATTAAACTACTAACATACATATCCTCTCTCAAAGGCACCTATTGGTTGTTCATATAAACCCTAAAGCAATCAATGAACATGATCAGAAAATCTCTTAATTTTAAAATTGTCTTTACTATTTTTCTCTCTACATAATGTTGAAAGACTTTTGTACTGTGAAAATTCGGTGTTGATTTATGTTGTGTAGCAATACCATATTGCTCGAGTAAACAAAATAAAGACGATTTTTGAATTCTAAAAAACCGTGAAACATCCATCAAAGATATCAATTTGATGGCCAAAAAAAGTATGTCTTCACTCCTACGTTTTCATAATATTATACGATTTTCAACATTAGTATCAGAGCAATTTATGACGTTCTCGGCTTTTTGGGATCAAATGTATATTGTCGATATACATTAGTCTATCAAGTTTTGTGAGAAACAAACTAACGATTCAAGAGTTTCAGACCTTGTTAGTCTGCATCTTAGAAACTGTTTTTTATTTTTGGAAACAATTTATGGGAGAAAAGTTGTTTAACCAGTTGTTTTTTGTTTTTATATTTTAAAAATAGAGAACAAAACTGAGTAGATTTTAGAGAACAAGTTAAAGTTGTTTTGTGTGTTTTTGGAAATAACCTATTCAGAATTTAAAAAATATTATCATCATCACCACCACCATATTTCCACCACGTCCACCACCACCACACTTCCATCACCTCCAAGACTATCACCACCATACTTCCACCACCACGATACTCCCATTACCACACTTCCACCACCCTTCCACTAACACCACCACACTTCCACCACAACACCACCACCATGTCCACTATACACTACAATAAATTTGTTTTTTAGTGACGAGTTTTGGCGGCGAACAATAAAATTTATTGTCACAAAGTGATTTTCGGTAACAATTTTAAATGTTTCTCGCGGTAAACTTTTTTATTATATTTTTTGCGATCATTTTTTGTAGTCGTTGCCAATAGTCTTTGCAAAAGAGAGATAAAAATTTTGTGATTTTTTGAAATCAGTGAAGTATCCTGTTGGCTATGCAGCTAACATCTCAAGATTTGTAAGCACTAAGGATGAAAAAATATCAGGTTTGAAAAGTCATGATTATCATGTTTTCTTTGACAGTTTTTTTTAGGATAAATTACACCAATAATCTCTGAAGTTTATTGTTAGTCACACTTTCATCCTTAATATTTTAATTTTATCAATTTAATCCTCAAAATTCAATTTAATCCTTAATATTTTTTTATTTTTTAAAAAATATCTACAATTTTTTTTTCAAAATACGTAATCCAATAAAAAATTTTCAACATATATATACTATTGTGTATAGATAATATTCGAAATAAAAAACATATGAAATTATAAATTAAACAAATATTAAAATAATTAGGCATGTGATAGAAATGGATGATGTGATATTTTTGAAGGGAAAAATATGTCGGGGATAAATTTGAACTTGTGAACTATTTTATTATATAGATTTTAATTTCTAAGTGGAATCCATTGTTTTATTAACAAAGCTTGTACTTGAGTTATGTATTTAACATAGTCACGAGTATGTTAATTAAAATAAAAAATTGGGCCATTTGACAGTTTTTTTTAGGATAAATTACACCAATAATCTCTAAAGTTTATTATTAGTCACACTTTGATCCTTAATATTTTAATTTTATCAATTTAATCCTCAAAATTCACACATTTAACTAATGCAGTCCTCGACATTAACTTCCAATTAAACAAAGAGATGGAAAGCATCGTGTCTTGCACATGAGAGTGTTGATGGGCATTTTTGGTAATTTATAGCAATTCCTACATCCAAACACTATTATCCCTTATTTGAACAACACAAAACTCTCTCTCTCTCTCTCACATACACAACACATAATCACACATACTTGAAACATCCCATAGGCAATTAAGCATCAATTCATGGCACCCACCCGAAAATTGCTCACTAGCCTAACACCCGCACACTACACGACACCATATTCGTCTCATTTTTACCTCCACATTCGTCTCACTTTCACCTCCACATCCATCTCTATCCAACACCATCACACGTGCACGCATACGCTTTTTCAGGGGTAATTATGTCTTCTCAACAAAATAAAGATCACGAAAATTTTTTATTTTTATTTTTGTTATTTTAAATTAACTATTAGAGTTAATTTTAAAATATTCAAACTTAAAAGGAATATTTGTTGAAATAGAAACCTAAAAGAGTGAATGGTAAACTATCTAAAGTTGAAGAGTGCATTTTATAATTAACCCTAAAAAAATGAATTTTTAGAAGTCTTACACTTTGTACAACTTATTTGACTGAAAATCCAAACTCCAAAAAATTTTGGCTAAAAGGACAAATTGCAGTGAAAAGAAATTAAAACCCACATTTGAGCCATTTATTGGTGAAACCAACTTTTTTTTTGGAAACCGATGGAATCTCCCCTAAACTCCATATTTAACGGCGACAACCTTCATTTCTCCATAAAACAAAGAAAAGGCTGCACCTCCAAAATACTCGGTTTGAAATTTGAAAAAGAATACCACAAATTTTGTCAGCTATCAATCGATATTTCATTCATATATTTAAAAAAATGGTGCTTTTTCTTGGGCCAAACAAGATTTCCAATTCTCCGATGCAATCGTCTAATCTCTGCATCAACCATCATCGGTCTTTTCACAATCATCAACAAACGAGAAAGGTTCAAAATTAGTCTCTCTCCATAGTATGACTACGTTATAAATGATATTGATTTCTATAAATCCCCAATTTTATTATTAAAAAACCCTAATCTTCACAAAAAATTACAAAAGTGGGATTTTTTTTTCTTTGTTTGATCAAACGTATTCAGATTGTATAAAAGTTCCAAGCAAATGTTATCACACAACACTTGTATTTGTCAATCATTCCAAGCAGGCCAATCATAGTTTGGTCTCTGGTTTGGGTAAATCCAATGATTTGGTCTCTTATTTTAGGATAGAGAAGGGCCTCTCTAATTCAACAATTCGGAAACTTTAGGAGGAGAACACTTTATAAAGTGGACCCATATGCATCTGGAAATTTTGAAACTAATACTATATAGTGCTATTAAATAAACTTTAAATCCTTACAATTAAGTAGAGTTACTTAAGATAGAACGGGCCCAAATTAACTTTAATTTGATACCATAGGTAAAATCCAAAAGTTTAAAATTTAATTCTTAGTTACCACCACAAATATGAGTTTGCATCATAAAATTCAAATATTTAAGAACAAATTTTTACTTACCATCGTAAATATTAGTTTGGGTCGTAAAATCTAAGCATTGATTCTGATCTATCATTGGAGAAATGAATTTGTGACAACGATCTCATCGTGAAAATTAGTTATAAATCAATGCATTGTTGATGGCCCCTCTAGCCAGTCTACCTATGTCATTACTGTGGATTTTGAAAGTTCAAATATGTAGAGTCTAACGTTGTTGCATGTAGAGAAACTATTTCCATGACAAACAAATCCCATAAACAAATAAACCCCCGACTTCTCCTTGATTTCATAAACAGGCAACCATGTTGTCAGTGTTCATTATTTCTATATAAGACATTACTGATGGAATGAAAGGGATGATGTACTAAATACCTCTTCATCAAATCAATGGGAACAAAAGGTTTGGTGGACTGGTGGTCTTCTTTGAATCATCTGTACATCAAGGCATTCAAGGAACAACAGTGTTCATGAACTTCCTCTTGGCAAATGCCAACCACCATTTATTTGGAGTCCCATTTGGTCTGTATGCAACGCTTAATAGTCTCCCACTCGTTTCCTCCCTTATCTGCTTCAGATAATTCCTGAATAGTTCTGCATTCAACGGTAAAATGGCAAAGGAGGAAAATGAGAATTCGAATTTGAATCAATTAAACAGCCTAAGATGAAAAATTGATTGGGTTCCAGCAGAAATTGACATAATACTATATCCATATGAAAACCAATTACACACAATTCTACTGTTTTTGTCTAATTGAAGTTTTTTTGTTAAAGATTAAAATTAGTGAGTCATCACAAGGACCAAGGAGGAGGTGGAGGAGGAGAGAAGAAAAAGAAGAGCAGGAAGAATGATGTCAAAAGGTGGCAAATCCCTAACTCCAAAACCCTAGCATGTTCTACAAATGCACACACCACAACAGCATAAACCTGGGGTCAAACACATTATTAGCGCATCAGAATCCTGTAGCATAATAATTCTCAGTATGTTAGTTGTTTCAGGTTATGATATATAAATCCATTCCAACAAGAAACGAGAATTTTTTGAATTGCAAGAATAAGTCAAGAAAGAACAGATCTCAGTAAAACTTATCAGGCTTTCATCACTAGCAAGTAGGATTCCTCTCTCTCTGGCGAAGTGTAAAGAAGAAAAAAGAGAAAACACAGTCATTAGTCAGAGTAATATGTAGATCAATAATGATTCTTAGCAACAGGCATCCATTAAAGCCTGGAGCAGTAAACCACAAGAGAAGATTGAAAAGCAGTCTTTAGATATTTAGGTGTGTGTATCTCATGGTTGACTTATTCTAACAATGGAGCATAAATGGATGACCGCTTCAGCAGTACCAACAGGAAGTATGCTAGCATGCCACTGCCACCTCAACTGGAAAATTTCTCCAGTTCGGATCCAGACACAGTAAAAAAAAAAATTAGGACTCAAAATAAGGGAGCCTAACGGAGCTGGACAACCTTTACAAGTCCACCTTTTAGTGGTTCCGAGTACACTATTTTGTAGACCTGATTTACCCTATACGATCAACCTATTGCTTCCATGAGGAGTTGAACACCTAATTTTTCAAGAGAGAAGCACATTAAAAATATTTAGCGTGTAAAACACCTAACAAGCTGGGGATGGAAACGAAGCTAATGCACAGATGTTCTGATAACTAAATTTAAAATCCCCATTGTGGTTCCTATCATTGTATATGATGTTATTCAGCCGGACAAGTTAGAAAACTTCAAACCAGTACCTGATTCCAACAATCAGATTGATAAGAAGTAAAGGCATTATAACCATAAAATCCATACTATTTTTAGAACAAGAGCTGCTAACTTCCTTAGACTCGGTGTCTTTCAAAATTGTTCACACCAAAAAGGACAATACTGATTTTTTGTTTCTTTTGAATCATTCAACTAGTAAGAGTAAAAAAGCAATAGCTAAAACGATCTCTTCAAAATTGCCGTGAAACACAGGAGAAATGAAGCATGTAATTTGGAAATGCTCCTAAATAAAATCCTCAAATCGGAACACAAATAAAATGTTGTAAAGGATACTTACTTATAACAAAGATCGGAAGGAAATCTACCTGCTTCTTGCTGAGACTGAGGCGGGGAAAAGAGGCCTGGAAAAGGAAAACCCGACTCTCCAGGCACAGGAACCTTTTCCAAACCCAAGTTAATAATTGCCTTAGTTCCTTCGGCCAATGTTCTGCAACCCCCAAGCCTCTTCAAAGCCACATTGATATAGAATGTCAAATAAATTAGGAGCTTATCAGCTGAGCTTTTGATATCAAAGTTTCTGAAGAAAACATTGGCGCGAAAGAATGTGATTGCTTCATCAACAATATCAGTTCTATCTGCATATAAATTGTACAACTGATGCAAATTAGAGAGGGAAAACATTTTTGAAACATGCCAGGAAAATAGATATAAAATCCGATTCTAACATGGATCAGAAACTGGAGCAGGGCCTTTTATATGGCTTTTTAGAGGAAGTAAAGGGCACCCACAAGATTTGGTGATTCCTTCCTCATCAACAAAACTGGAGTGATAAACCTGCGATCCAAAAACATAGAACACATACAAATTGCGGTACTTTTTCGAACAGAAATACACCACATTTCAACTTTTGAAGATGAAAAATTCAAGATCCATGAAAGAAAAGCAGAGTTTTCTTCCAAAGACAAACAATTAACAACACCACCTCTCAAATGAGTATATCTCTAACCCATTGAGCTCTATAACTGAGCTGATATGATTTTCCATTAATCGGAGAAATACATGTATGTGACCCCTCTTCCCCCAACCAACAACAACACCACACACATACACACAAAGACATAATTAGCTGGGTCGATCATTATGGCCTTCGTTATTCGTATCAGAGGCTTGAGTAGCTCAACAAAACCAAAAACAGGAAAAGTAAACACAACAAAAACTCGGGAATATGAACATCCTTACCATGACAATTCTGGAGAGAAGCTGATGAGATGGTTTTCACGGTGGATCAGATCGGAGCTTGCTCTTTCTGAATTGGAGGTAGGTAATAGAAAACTGCTTTAGATCGATTGGGACGACGTCGTTTCAATTTGCAAGTGGACATTGGGCCTTGCTGTATGTTTTTCTGGATAGAGTTGGTGTTGGGCTTTTTCACTAGCTTGAGTAGGAAATTGATTAGAGTTTTTCTAGATTAATTTGTTTAATTTTTGTTAAGGTATGGGATTTGGTTACGAATTCATGACACGGGGAAAAACAACAAATTCATACAAGATTATAGCAAAATGATTTGAATCTCAAACTATGTGGGCAAGATATGGAGTTCAATTCTCGTAATTATACAGAGTGACATAAGAATTCCATTTAAAGTGAGTTTTTTTACTTGCACCTCGATTAATTTTTTCCTTGCCGAGACGAGAGTATTCAGGAGGAATAAACCCCTCATAACCTAATTCAACGATTTGTCAAGATTCAAACTCAAAATATTTAATGAGTTTACAACTTATGAGTGGTAGATACTAGACATTGCGATAGTCAAGATTTCAGAATTAAGTCAAAAAAATTGATGGTGTTTAGAATACCTTTTTAGAGATTTCATTAGAACACATTTTTATATAGAGTGAAAAATGTAGTCTATTCCTATAAAAAAATGAAGAGAACTATATAAGACTAGATGAAACTTGACCTCATATCATGTCTTGAGATGGACAACTCGTCACCGGAACTCTTGCCAGTCGACAAGGTTTTTTTGTATAATTTCAAGGTTCAAATCCTATTATGTGTGTGGTGGTGTAAGTGGTTGTTCAATCATGGTAGTTAGCCTTTTTCCAACCCAACAGTCTACTATGGAAAATGCAACTTAGCAAAACCCTCTGACGACAAAGCATCAAGAAAAATTAAAGGGGGTCCAAGGTTTCTAGCATACTTTGATGACAGCAATCCAATCATTCATATGAGATAAGTAATGCAGTTTAATTTCCTAAAGAATGAATTCTGAGGAGAACTAAAAAACTATTGCCATATATTTATGAAAAATATGATCAGGATTCAGTAAACAGATACATTACCAATGCTTTCAAATTCATATTTGCCAAGCATCGGTTCGAGTCTAGGAGTGACCCTCTTCAAAATAGAGGCAAGACCGCTTGGTACTTGCTTCTTCCAGACCCCATTATAGGAGGAAGCTTTGTGCACTGGGTAGGTCTTTATAATCTGAATTACCATATTACCATACACAGTTTTATGTAATCCCTGTACAATCATCACTCCAAGAATGTAAATAATTCTTGATCATAGAATCAAAGCTTGTATGGTGCTCACAATGACCTGAGGACTTTGTGTACCATCAACCTTATATATCCCTTCAGATTCTTCAATCTGAAGCAAATCTAGTTGAGATTGCAATAGCTTAGCAGGCATGAAGTGATTCCCTTCTGCTGCTCTTTTCTCTAACCGAGCAGCAAGAACCTCAGCCTGAACGTCCAGCAAAACAAACTTCACCGAACATAAATAAGTTTGGGGTACATAAATAGGGTCTGCAGATCTAAGAATTTCTCTATAGCGCTTTTGTAAAGCAGAACACCCAAGAATCACAGTTTTGTGACTGACCAAACACACATTTAAGTGATCTCGCAATTTTTCAAGCCATGGAACACGGTCTTCTTCCGATAGAGGGATCCCTTTCTGCATCTTTTCTGTTTTGGCACACAAATAACCATTTCAGGCAACAATAGCATCCATGAGAAATGAAATTAGTTGTTATTCGAGATGAAAACTCTTGCTCTAAATTGCTACTCTTAGGTTAATGATTCTACCTTTGTTTGATTGTGGGTGGAAATCATCAGCATCAAGAAAGCTACAGTTTACAACTTTTGCCAGCATCTCACCTATTGTTCTGTGGAAGCACGCATGCAACACATGGGTATGAGCAGCAATTATGATTCTTCACTCAAATGATAGAAAACAATAATTGCAAGAAAAAACAAAATATCACAGAAAAGAGAGAGATATATGGTATAGAGAGTCCTTGTTTTTCAGCTGAAACGAAGCAGGTTAAAATAGGGAACATGGTCTCATCTGGTCTTTTTCAAGTGACCAAGTTCCTTCAATGTTGGGATTAGGAATGGCAGTGGATCGGAGAAAAACGGATATTCGTCCAAACCCGTCCCATTTGGACCGGGAATTGACCATACGTATTGGACGGTAGACGTATACGGGGATACCCGTATAAATCCGTACGGGGATGAAGGTAGGGATGGACTTACCCTTAACCCCCGCCCCCTACCCGCCCTCGATACCCATTATATATATATGTAATTAAGGCCCAGAAATTCAGGTCATCCTATAACTGAATTTGGACGCTTTCAGTTAAAAATATGATCTTTAGAATGTTTTGATTCATTAAAATCAACAAATTTTTCCAAAAAATTAGTAGATCAAGATGCTGATAAGATGACAAGCAACGTTTTTAATTTTAATCAATTGCTTGTAAGACTTACGATTTCCCTGCACCACAGACACCCATAATCACAACAGCTACACCTGTGGATCAGAAGGGGTGAAAAAGGATCCTAATTAGACAAAGCTTTAGGAATAAAGAAAGAAGATTTATAAGAGAGAAGAGCAGTTACTTATTTAATTGAGTCTCAGAACAAAGCTCATTTTAAGTATCAAATTAGAAAAATGAAAAAACCTTTGATATCAGAAGCCATAAGTGGTTGGCAGATAATAATAATAATCAACAAAGCCTCAGTGATAAAAACCAGGTGTCAGAAGTCAAATAAGTATGCTAATCCTGGCTAAACATGAAACGACCAGGAAGGCCCTGCAACACATAGGAATAATAAGCACTGTAATTAGTATGACCGATTTTCACAAAGTACAATATGTTTCTTCCAAAATTTCAGCGTAATCTGCAGGAGAATGAATAGAAGTGGAATGCAGATCATAGACCTATTAAGGACTAGCTTTTTGCACAATTCATAACCAACCGAACAAAGCAGAATGGAAGTAAAAGCATTAAAACATTCTGATACTACTTTGTTTCAAAGGAAAGAAGTTTCTTTGCAGACTACATTGAAGAAAAGATAGTGCGGATTCACAGGAAAAAGTTTTGATACCATGTGTTCAATTCTATCCACACGGAATCATCTGATATGATTGACCCAAATGATGTGCAGCTACAGTTGCAACCAAGAGCACTAAAATGGAAGTAAAAGCTAAGAAAACAAAGCCCTTTGCATATGGTGATTAGATGAGATTTTGTGATAAGATATTGCCAGAAATTAACATATTTGTACTGTCATGGCCAACCACCATTCGATGGAAGAGAGCTTTATTTGGTTGTATTGTGAGTTCCACCAACTGTATAGGTTCTAGAAATAGTCAGATGTTATGCACATCCACCAAGATTCAAATGCCAATCAAAATACCATCAACTCAGATCCAAGTTCCCACCCATATACACTGAACCCCAACGTAATCAAAATGATGTTTGAGTTTGACCGTAGATCTAACTGAGAGATTTGAATGGAGAAATCAATTCAAAACTGAAATTTTTTTAAAATTACAAATGAATGATTAGAATTATATTACTAGCTGCAAAATACACATAGTATTTTATAATTGAATCCTGTAACTGGAAAAAAGATCCAAGCCCTCTACATTCAAGTTCAAATCAGACCTCAGAGTCTCAGACTTAAGATCTGAACATAAACTGCTAATAATAATAGGTTCGGTGGATATCAATGAGCACAATTTCTGCCTAGATTTGTGTCATAAATGACCCTAATCACAAAATTAATAATGAAGAACTTGTTATTGAGCTCCTGATCACTGTCAATGATGTAGAGTCTGTAATTTACAGCCCACATCTAGAAGATCAAACAGGACACATTACTTATCATACCCAACTAGGGGTTTTAGATGAACAATCATTATGAAATTGGGCGCCAAAAAAACCAAAAACTGATATGAATAACCATCTAGCAAGCCTATAGCAACTCATAGCACTAAAACCATCCACCCAAATTCAAAAGCAACTTTCTAAAACTTTTACAAATAACAACAAATCATACAATGTAATGCAAAGAGGGGCTTGTGCATTGACAGAAAGCTCACACTAAAAAGTGTGAGAATGCAATTTCCACAACGAGGACACAGTCACTTGATGCAATTTCAGAGACTAACAAAAGTAAGTATTATCTTATTTTCTCTCACAATCATAATTGTTAACAAACTGTTTCCAACCTCAATAGCACTTATCCACTTTGTGCAAAATCATCCACAGAAACTATTAGCACAATATTCAATCACAGGCAACACAGATTATGCAGATTCAAAAATGAGATCCCTACAGCTACAGTAATTTGATTAAAAAATCTTAATGCGCAGAACAAAAGTATAAAACCCATGAACTTGAAAGGCAAAAAAGGCAATTATGAACACAATGCTTGAAAAAGAATATGGGTTTGCGATTGACTTACCTGATTTAATCCGGATAGCTGCAATTTCTTACTGTTAATCCTATCAGGAATAGATTGGTTGAAGGAAGGTGGGACGGTTTGTCTTCTGACTTGGTCGTTAGACTACGTTATACCAGCTCATATCCATCAAGCAGGCGGGCATGTTACGTATGTGCTGAGTTTTTCAGCTGGAAGATCATATTTCTACTTAGTTTTTTTTTTCCCCAAGTTCTATTTGAATTATGTAATATTTTTTTTATTTAATTTGTAATTAATGTATGAAGAGAAATATTATTTGAATAAAAATATTCACACATTTTGCTGTGGGTGATTTTAAAAGTGATTAGATCAATAAATTAAATTATGTAGAACTACTAGAAGCCATCTAAAGTAACATCATAAAATACATAGGTTATTAGCACAACGCGTATATATATTTCTAAACAATAAGAAAACATAAAAACAGAGAAAGTATTATGCAAGCATCTCTCTCTACTCTGCAGTTCATCAGTTAATGTATGGAAGTTCAATTGTATGATGTTTCCTATGCCAGAAATTAATTTATTATGCAACCACAGATCTAGTTATAATTATGTAAAGTGCTGAATGTAACACTAGACAAGTTTACCCTCCAATTAGAAACAAAGTTTAAATGATGCATTCTCATTTGAAAATAATTATTCAGTGTAAGATATTTTAGGTCATAGCAAAGCCTAAAACACGTCTTTGTGAGCTATGGGTTCTTGTTAGGCAACAAGCATTATTGAACTCAATGCTAATTGGTAGTTACTAAGGTGGGCCAGCAGACCTATTTAAGGGATGCAACAGTCAGATTACAAGTATTTAGGAGATTAGGACTGCAGAAGGAGAGTCTTACTCAAAATTTTAATCTAATATCAGTTTCTTTCCTCTGTCAACTAGATGCCCAACATTTTAAGAGCTCAAGGATTGCAAGATGCAGCAAAATAGAAAAGATAGGGCTGCTACGGGGGCTCAAATCCCACTATACTAGGGCCTGATAAAGGGTTATTTTTTAAACAAAGAATCAACTCGACAAAGAAATTGCAAAGAATGAAAGACAAACTGAAGCCAATATGAGCTAATGGAAGTTTTCATTCCTCATGATTAAATAAGCGGTTCATACTTCGAACAGAAAAAAGATCTGACTTTTTAGGTTCTAGATGAACCTAACAATAGTACATAATTAAGACAACACCAGGCTTGGTTTCGGCTTGGTTTCAAGTGCATCCACCTAACAATCATGTGGTTTGACAGTTGCTAATATTTTATGAAACCTAAGCTCAAAACAAACTCTCAATTAATCAGACATTAACTCNAGACAAACTGAAGCCAATATGAGCTAATGGAAGTTTTCATTCCTCATGATTAAATAAGCGGTTCATACTTCGAACAGAAAAAAGATCTGACTTTTTAGGTTCTAGATGAACCTAACAATAGTACATAATTAAGACAACACCAGGCTTGGTTTCGGCTTGGTTTCAAGTGCATCCACCTAACAATCATGTGGTTATTTGACAGTTGCTAATATTTTATGAAACCTAAGCTCAAAACAAACTCTCAATTAATCAGACATTAACTTAACACATTAGATAAACAAATCAATAGACAGTGGATACAAATATGTCAAAGCAGAACAGAATGATTGCATATAATCATTATCAGAACTATCCTTGACACGTGAAAATTTAGCAATATATCCTCACCTATTATGTAATTGGATACAGTCCAGAACCAGAAATGTAGGTGTGATTTCTGAAACAAACTATCCTAGTATAAGAAAACAGAATGTATTCCTCCTCCCCAATCAATCATGAAATTAGGCACCACTTCATTTTTAAGTAAACGGCTTCCTCAGAATCAAAAANACTCGGTCTGCATGTTAGAGGCTGCCCCCATAAAAAATCGAAGCAGCAACTACCATACAACCTTCAGCATTCCTCAACACTGTTTTAAGTAAACGGCTTCGTCAAAATCAAAAACTTTTGTTATTAAGTTCGTTTAGGTATATTAAAAAACAGGTAATAGACATGAAAGATGTTACGTATTTGTCCAAAGAATTAGCGAAGACCGAGTGCATAAACAAGAACTAAGCTAATACATCTAAGCATCAAATCCAACTACGTAGCCTAGACCATTCAACTCAATCTAAGGGCATACCGCATACCCCAATTTCCAGTGAAAAGCAAGCAATCATACNTTGTGGGCCATAAAGTGATAAAACTAAGGCATCGTGTAAGAGAATTGGTTTGATACTACCACTCATCCTGGTGGAGTGTTGGCTGAAATTAAAAGTGATCCTGCTTCTTCAACACAGGAGCAATAAAAGGACCCTTTGCCCCCATAAAAAGTTTTCAATGGTGACCTAATGAAAATAGAAAAACTTAGGGTCCTAAACTGCCTTGCCCTATACATCTGTCGAGTCTATTGTCCTCTGCCTCCTCCAGTTGGGCTTCATAAAGACTCATGGTTAACAAAGACAATTTATAACAGGAAATTTTCATTGCTATGCAATTCAAAAAAAAAAAGAAGATTAGATATACATAGTTTTACCAGACATACTCGGACTCGTAATCCTGCCTTGCAGCTATTACTAGAAAAAAGAAGTGTTCTCTAGCATGGGGCGAAAAAAAAGGTGTCAATTGGCGGACCACATGGCTAGCAAAACTGGATATTTTTCTTCTCTGTGTAACTAGTTTGGGTCCTCCATCTGCTAACCTTGTCATTGACCATATAAGCTCCTATTCAGAGTTGAACCTTGGAAGGGACATCCACCATATTTTACACATGAGCCAATCTGGTAACTCTGTGGCGCCATTATATGTATTGGATTGCGATAGACAGTTATGAAAATAACGTTATTAGGATTGAATCATTTGATCAGATATGTTTTAGACCATGTTGATGGTACAGTTTAAGGGCGAAACACAGAAATAGATAATTTATTAGAAAAGGTTAAACAAACTAAAACTAGAATAGATAAAAAAGAGAACTCTCGTCAAATCATAGAAACCTCCAATAGCTTGATTCAAGGAAAATCCAAGTACCTAACTTCCAAAAGAAAGTTCATTACACACCTAACTTTTATTTTCATTGATAGTAGCAGTAGAATAAAAGATAGTGGCAAGCAAAAAAGATAACTAACATAATCCATGACTTCATGGTCTAAATAATCACTTAGAAAACCCACTTATACCACACCCCTATGACCATTAACTAAACTGATCTCAAACAGAACGCCACACAATCAAACCTTATTCCTCACAAAGATTCAAGTTTTCTTGTTTGGTTCAAAGACATACTTAGTGATGGAATCTTTGAGTGACAACAGTTGAGGAAACTCATTCTTCAGCCTTGTACTATCCACCTCATTGTTACTCCTCTGCGCCACAATCACCTTGGCTCGTTCTTCCAAATCAAAGTTCACACGCTTGAATTCAGGGTCTATGTAGTCCCTGTACTTCTCTAGGATCTCATTGTGGCTAAGAACTCCTGGATTGGTGAAGTTCCATATCCCTGTACAGTTTCTCTTTGCCATGTCTATAGAAATTGGCAAGAGCTTATCTAGTACAGTCATGCTATTGGGTATGTTTACCACTTTGCTATAATGGTTGATTTTTGTTATGAAGTTTCTTGGATTGCCAAGATCTGATGATATGGGCATTCGGACTCGGAGAGTGCATACATTGTCATATTCCTTAAGAAGATCCTCCACCTGCACATATACCATAGTTCTAAGCCTGCATCTTGCTGAATCTAAATGAAAATATTTGAGGAATTCCCTACTTTCCCATTTCATATCCACATTATTCCAATTTCCAAGGCTATGACAGCCTAGGATTTTGGGTAAACGTTAAGCCTCTAGGCTATGAACCGGAAAATGCTTGCGAATTCCATCACTATGTTGGGCATAGCACTGGCAGATGCATAGCACTCGGCCATTCTGTTCGAGATTTATTCATCAATTTGACAGTAAGATGGCCCATAGATCGACCAATATAGCCTCAGAATTCAGATGATCTTAATCTTTGGCTACGTTAACATGGGATGGTAACAGTAAGACAATAATGGATAGGCCAAACATTTTAAATTTTAGGAGTTAAGGCAACATGAATGAGCTTCAAAATGCAAAACGAAATTCTGCAGTACTTACTACTTACCATGGCCTTGGTTTTGGAGTAGAAAGACCCCATGAAATTCGGTTTGTCTTCCTCCTTGAATCCAATACCTAATCCTTGAGGATGGTCCTCATCATACTCGAATATGCATCCAGTTGCAAAATTCATCATCAAGAGATNTTTGGAGTAGAAAGACCCCATGAAATTCGGTTTGTCTTCCTCCTTGAATCCAATACCAAATCCTTGAGGATGGTCCTCATCATACTCGAATATGCATCCAGTTGCAAAATTCATCATCAAGAGATCTTGTTCCTTGCAAACATCAGCTAAAGTTAGGGTACCAACCACATTAGTTCTAATTGTTTCAACCTTACGGCACTCGCACCAATCCACATTAGGCTTGCCAGTAACCCCAGGTGCATTGAACACATGGGTTGGTTGTACTCTTCTTATATCCTCCAGGAGTGATTTCCTATCTTGCAGCCTTCCTGATCCGTACTCATATAGTATTCCTTTGTCTTCACTAAGTTTTCCTAACAAGCCTCCAATCCAACTGGTCCTTCCATAAATTAAGAATTTCAAACCAGAGTTACCTGTTCTGTGATGTTCTAACGAGAACTGTGATAAACACCCATCGTCGATGGAAGGCAGAATCGTTGAAATTCGTGGTAGGTGAGGTTGAAGGGCTACAGCTACATCTCCCCACCAGTCCGGGTTCTTAGTGTACCATTCAATGGTCATCTTTAGCCCTTCCTCCCAAGAAGTCCTTTCTTCCCATCCCAACTTTTTTAGCTTCTGATCATCCAAGAATTGTCTTTTGTCACTAGAATGGCTGTCATTTACAAACTGTATAACTTGGTCTGGGTTCAAATCAAATAGTTTGCAGATGTCCCTGGCTATGTCTAAGACTCGCCTCTCCTTCTTTGTGCCTATGTTGTAGACATGTCCAATAACGCCTCTATGGAGTACCACATCAAATGCCTCAGCAACATCTTCGGAATACAGACAACTTCTCAAATTTGACCCATCACCATGAATAGGCAAGTTCTCACCCTTCATGGCGAGGAGAATGAGTTTTGGAATCAGTTCTTCTGGGAATTGCTTCGGGCCATAGGCATTATTCCCTCGAGTTGTGATTGTTGGGAGGCCATAAGAACGATGGTAAGCCATCACCAGCATTTCTGCTCCAGCTTTAGTCGCAGAATACAGATTAGTGGGAAGGAGTTGAGAATCCTCCGAATTGCCAATATGAGTCTCGATATCAGTCTCTCCATATACCTCACATGTACTAACATGTATGAACCTCTTGATTCTCCGGGTGATCCTGCAAGTTTCTAAAAGTATATGAGTGCCATAAATGTTATTTTTTGTCAATTCAAAAGAATTTCCGCAGGAGTTATCGACATGGGTTTGGGCTGCAAAGTGCATTATGGTGTCGATTTCCTCAGCAACCAAGAGAGAGCTAACAAGATCCGCATTCAAAACATCAGCCTTGACAAACTTGAAATTCGGTGAAGAATAACAAGGACAAAAATTCTTAAGGCTCGAACAGTAGTCGAGCTTGTCGAGGGCCACGATCTTATAATCAGGATAATTTCTCATCAGGTGGTTGGTGACATGGGAGGCAATGAAGCCTGCTGCACCTGTTATCAGGACCTTTTTCGGCGAATATGAAGCAGCTGGTTCAGTTGACATCCTTCAACTTTTCCTGGAAATTTCAATGCAATGTTACAATTATATGAAAGAAAACAATATCTATAGAAGGTGAAACTTGATGAAGGAAAGAATTGGTACTAAAACACATAGAACAGAAAGGAAAATGCAAAGATTGGAAACACTTGGAATAATTTTCTGAATTGAATTACTTGATTATGGTTCTACTTGATTCTAGTTCTATTTTTTCTTGCCAAATGAATGGTACTAATTGGTTATGTTTCTTAACTTTTATTTCTTAACCTAATCAGTCGATTTTCCGAAAAGGGTCATAATGAATCTGTGCTTCTCCCGCAGAACACAAAATTTCTTCATCTCAAGTTTCTGATACACAATCCTGATATGGAATTTCATGCACAAAAATATTGGAATAAATTTCATGCAAAAAGTGTAAAAGGAATGTCACTTTGTGCGTTATCTTTTTCAGCCGAACGATCCAATGACTGGCAATGACTATTCGAATAGTGCAAAAAAAGAAGAAAATGTATATCCATTTATCAATTGAAACTTGAGAAAGGGAGAGCACTTACAAGTAGTGTAGTGTATTGGGAAGAAAAGAATAATGGTGATCGATCCGAGTGAAGTGTAGGATTGAAAGGAAATGAGAAAACAAGTTGGAGCAGTGATCCCTGATGGTCGTAGCCTGTTAAAATTCTGCCATAATATATATATAACCTGTTGCAAAGGTGATGATTTTCGACCAGACTTGAATACAATTGGATATAAATCTCAAAGTAACATGATTCACAAACAATAATAATAAATGAATCGGAAAAGTGTCAAACATGACTAACTCGATTTTGACAAGACAAATTTATGTAATTAGTATTACTGTCAGCAAATGTCTTATTTATTCATTTTTTTTTATCATATTCAATATCTTGATATAATATTTTTGAAACTGTCACAGAATTAAATGACATTATTTGGTTTTACAAAGACGTAGATCAAGTTGATTTTNCAAATTTATGTAATTAGTATTACTGTCAGCAAATGTCTTATTTATTCATTTTTTTTTTATCATATTCAATATCTTGATATAATATTTTTGAATCTGTCACAGAATTAAATGACATTATTTGGTTTTACAAAGACGTAGATCAAGTTGATTTTTAATTTATAAGAGATCTAGGTGTACTAGTTGAGAAAATCGGGCCCTAATCTTAGAATTTAAAGGTTACCTATAGTAATCCAAACTTGAAACACATGACTATTACACAAACTCTTTTAACATGACTTGAATATGACATGGTAAGACTAAATTTACATCCCTAGCTAGGAGTTGTTCCATTCCAAGGCCTCCCAAAAAGATAAGAAGATCCCTTCTACTAACAAGAATAGCAACCTATGGAAGTGAGTCTCCCTCTCATTGCTGTAGATAGATTCTCTCGTTTCAGGGTGCTACTCAATCAAGTGAAAAGAGCCTAGAATAGACAGATTTTCTAGAAGTGAGAAAGGCCATGAAAGAACCAAGACATAGCTTTCAGAGCATCCGAAAACAGGAGGATAATACACAAATGACCCAATTTCAAGACAATACACTTGTTTACCTTACATTATTAGCATCAAATATCTGATTTTTTATTTTCTTTTTTTGATCTAGTCATGCAAAAATTATTTCAAAATATTAAAATATTTTTTTATGTAATTTTTATCGGATGTTAATTAAGTCGATTGGACTACTCATGAGGGCATAACCAATGAATTTAGTTGAAGGAGAAGTGGGTTATAGTCATGCAGTTTTTAGTTCACACATTACAATAAACATAACATACTAGAAGTCCAAAATATTACCAGCGAACGATGTCTTTTAGTAGCCTTCGAATGGCAAATTTCATTAGAAAGTCAAGAAAGAAACTCAAAGATTGTGTATAATTAATGTTGTATCCTTATTTTCAAAGCATTCCAAAAAGAAAAAAGATCCCATTTTGTTAAAAATAAGAAATAAAAATACTTCGTATAAAATAGTCTTCAAATGATTAACGAATGAGAGATTTTCTCCCTTCAATTGTAGAGAAGTTATTCTAAACGTGGTTCAATAAAATCTACACATTTACGTTTTTACGTTGTACCTAAAGCTCCCGTGATCAGACCATGAAGGAAAGTTGTCAAATTATGTACTAAAGGTTACTTATTTTATTTATTACCCAATTCAGTGTGATTGATTAAAACAAAATGAGGTTGTTCGGATCGTGACTTGAGCTTATTCTATATTGTAACTGACTTTTTTAAGTCAGAACTTAACATCAAATGCTCACTTTTACATACATTTTGGTAAATTATCGAACTCGAAACCAAAGATTTGAATAGCTTTTAGAACATTACCTTATATGTGATTTCCAAACTCGTCTAAGAAGATACTAGTCTCCTATTTAGTGAAAAATAATAAACTGGTCCCTCTCACTAATGAAGGAGATAGATTTTTCCATTCATGTGCTACGATCAAGTGAAAGGCGAAGAATAGATACATATAATTTTAGAGAGAGAGAGCCAAGGCATAGCTTTGAAAGCATCCAAAAACAGGACTAAGAATGTTGTCAATACAAATAAATTGACTTTTCTTTCTTTCTTTTTTAACTAAAAAGTAATTTTATAAATCATATATTTTGTTGTAAGTTATTTGTACGTGGAATATGGGAATAATAATATATAAAAAAAATAAACTATTTCACGCGTTATGTTATGATTGGACAAACATCGCGATAAGATACTGACAAATAATTTTTCGATAATGTAGTCTGATCAATGCAGTGTTGTTCTGTATTATGTCACACCCTTGATACTAGTCAATCAAAATTTAATTTGGTCATGTTATAATCATTTGTTTCCGTTTTTTGTAATTTCTAGTTTTACCCATGCCATCAATCCAGTGTATCTTTCCTACTCCACCTTTGCAACTTCTTTTCATCTATTGCTTATTGGGAGATGTTGGGGTTCAGTATCCATTCAAGAAATGTCTGTAATGTCTTTGTTTTTTTCTGCTCTCCGTTAACAGCTCATAACTCCCTCCTTTACTACACTCAACTGCCTAAATCTCTCCAGATCTCTGCTCACTTCCTTATCCCCCTCTCCCTCTCCCTCTCCCTCTCCCTCTTTTTATCTGACCTCGTTTGCAATGACGAGGTCAATTTTCTTACCATTTTAATTTATGAACACACGTAAATCATTGAACTTGTGGGGCCTACGGGATTCCACTACTTATGTAATGGTTGTAGTTATAGACTCAAAGCAGTTGATATGGAAATCTCGTATAAAAATGATGATCGTGAGTATTGCCTTGTCAGTTATGACCTATATAAAATATGCCTATTTTCCTCAAAAGAATGAAGTCACTTCCTTCACCAAAAACAGCATAAACCCAATCAATCTATCTCCTCCTCTATCATGATCAATTTATATTTGGGCATCATCTTAACACGAAAGAAGAGATTTAACTATTAAATCCACCAGATTATATGCTCAAATCTGCCTTACTTTGGATTGTTTTTATACCATGAGCTTGAACTTGAGTTCAGTCTTGAGTGAATCTACAAAAACACATATTCCAAGGAAACTCAAACCCATAATTTCCAAATTAAAAGTGAGACGTCCTATTCATAGAGCAAAAAGTACTATCTCGCAAGTTTTTAGCACTAGTAATTTTTATAAATTGAGTTATAAAAGAATTTTATTCGAGTCCATTGAGCCAACAAACACATTACCGGAAGTCGGATTGAGTATTAAACAAAACGCTACGTTTTGTAACTAACAATAAAGCATGCGAATGAAATTTATATTATTTCCCATGTTTAATATATAATAATAGGAATTCATTCACATTATTATTGTATGCCTACTTCCATTGATTTATAATTTGTCATTCCTTAATATGACATGGTATTTTCCACTATCAAGTATCAAGTACCACCACTCACGGTCATTATCACTAGCAACCACCACCCCACCTCTATATCCACCTGGGTTGGGGTTAGGACTAGCTTCGGGGTCGGGTCCGACGTTATCGTTGAAACCTAGAATTTGGGTTTGGGTTTAGATCTGAGTCTTGGTTTGGGGTTGGGGTTCGGATCCGGGTTTGAGGCTCGAGTACAAGTCTAGGTTTGTGGACCAGACCATGTTTAAGTGTGCATTTAGGTGTAGGTCCAATATTGAGATATGTGTCTATGTTGAAGGTTAAGTCTGGGTCCGAAGACAAGTTTGAGGTCGGTTTTGGGTCCCAGACTAGGGTATGGGTCCAAATCAACGACTAGGGTCTAGGATCGGGTTCAAGTCCTAGTTCAAATCTAGGCTCAACGTTGGGTCCGAACATGTTCGAGGTCTGAGTCGGGTCCATGCCCGGTTCGGAACCAACTCCGACTTTATTTTGTGCGCGGGTTTAGTGTCGGATCTTTGTCAAGCTCCAAGGTTTGAGTTCGTGGCTTAATCATGTCCAGTAGGTTAGGTAGGCCTTTGTTTGACTTTTAGCACGATCAAGGATTATTCTAATATTACGTCATTTTATCATTAATTTTGATCCCTATCACTATCCCACGNAGTTCGTGGCTTAATCATGTCCAGTAGGTTAGGTAGGCCTTTGTTTGACTTTTAGCAGGATCAAGGATTATTCTTGTAGGGTCCATTATAATATCGAAAAGTATATTTTTGCTATTGTATTTTATTTTTCAGTCGATAAAAATACATCGCCTGAATAAATTTTTTATTTTATAACTATTATTATTTTACCATTTTATCAATCAGTGGTTATAGATCTTCCACTTCAAAATTGATGGCCAATATTAATGGAGGGCACGGTAACAACTTCGGTACCATGGCATTACACTTACTTATAATGTTAAACTTATAAAAAAAATGCAGCTTCATTGATATGACAAAATAAGTGAATCTTCAACTTTAAAATGAATAAAAATTGTGACTAAAAATTTATTATTGTAATATTACGTCATTTTATCATTAATTTTGATCCCTATCACTATCCCACGTATAAT